TTAAATGCTTGAAATATCAGTATATGAGACACAATAGAAAACACACCGTGTCTCGCATAGACCTGCGTTCCATACCATCATTTAGATACCATGGGTTAATTTACTTTTATTCAGTTTTTGTCCTTAAAATAAGCTTTACTGAATAGAAAAAGGGCAATAATACACTATGTGTCTGCTATCGGCACAATTACACAATTTTTCACATAGTAGTTTTTTTTAGGGGGGAATATCATCGAATGATTTCTCTAGGTGAGGCGGGAGGGAGTGTCAGACTCTTACTGACTAAAAACCACCCCGTTCCTTCTCCTGCACGTCGAGCCGGAGCCCCGGTTACCCGTTAAGTCCTCCGCGGCTCCGTATCGTAATTATATGCATACTTTCCTAATTAATAACACTGGGAGCCTCGTTTCACCACCTTTAAAGTATCTTATGTGACAGATACTTCATACAAAATACATTGTTAATTCTTATCTAGCACATAGCGGCTATCCAGACATTGTGAAACAGGCCCTTACTAAGTTTTGTAGCCCAGTCCTAGCACAAAACAACTTGTTATAGTGTAACAAGGAAGACAGGATAGGCTACAACTTAAAATATAAATTCATTTTAACATCCAAGGTCGTTGAAAAGTCTCTTGAAACGACGACTGTGGCACCTGGCTACTATACACTTACACGCAGAATACACACACAGTGACACGAAGGACATCTGTCGCGTGACTTGGCCCGTCATTACACTTCATACATTACGGTGTTGCAAGTACACGCACACATGAATACACCACTGACTTTTGGTGCTTCAGTCATTTCTAAGTGACATTACGTTCGCCTTTATTCGACGTCTTTGTTTTACCATCTCGATGCGCTACAACACAACGTTTTTAATGATGACTTGTAATGAAACAAACAGGCGGATTTACTTAAATTACTTTATTAATGTATAGGATATTGACAGAGTCCATTACACCCTGCCGGTTCGACTCCCGGCTCCAACTTGCATATTTTATTCCCGCAAACAAATTCACCCTTACGCACTTTCTTTTGCAGCTCACTAGGTGGCGCTGTAATCGAAAATAGGAATGAATTAGTCATAATTTTATTGAAATCTTGTTGCGGTTCGTTTTCTAATGAAATGAAAGCCATATTTATTTGCTTAAAATGATTCATAATATACATATTTGCACATAAGGTTGATTTAAATACCATGGACATAAATCCATAAGTAAAATCTTTAGATGGGTGATTCAGAGACACGCAAATTGCGCGGCTAGCTGATGATTCAGTCGCCAAAACCGGCGACGCTGATTGTTTACCATCAGGTGATCCGTCTGCTCGTTTGCCTCTTATTTCATAGAAAAAACAAAGAAGTAAGATGATGTAGCTACCAAGAAAGGCAAAGCACTTGTGCCGCCTCTGGTGTTACAGGTGTCAATGGTCGACGCTGTTCGCTTACCATCAGGTAATCAGGCTTAATGACTGTCTACTACTCCGTTAAGAACTACAACCTGTACGGAGTCTACACGAGGCCCTCTGCAAACTTTATAAGATCGTCAGTACATGTAGTATACCTAAGGCTAAGGAATATTAATTGAAGTCTCACCTTCAGCAGGCCTGTAGCCTTTGACCCCGCCTCCAGGCCTCGCCCAAGGCCAAGGCGACCGCTTAGCTCGAGGCCCAAATTCGTCAATCTTGGGCTTGTTGATAAGCACGTGTCTTCTGTCAGAGCTTATACTGGCAGCTGACGCCAGGCAGACGGCCAGGCACACGGCGATGAGGAGTAACTGGAATTGGAGGTAGGATATAAAGCATTTTTTTTTCAATACTTTTGTAAATTAATGAGAAATATAAAGCTTTTTTATTTTTATTTATATTAATTAACCTGTTGAAATATCTGAAATATCATCCCCTAAATTTGTTCATACAAAAGTAGTCTCTAAACATCGGAAATAAGGTCTATAATGTAGTTAGTAGAGAGCTGTCACCGGTGACCGCTTAAGGATATATGGGAAGCATGACTATTGAGCAAATCTTTGTGTCTAGAAAAGTATTTATTATTGGAGTTTCGAGGGTTCTTTAAAAAATCTCAGTAGGTAGGCACAGAGTATGAAATTGTATCCGGTATAGGGCAGTAGGCTCTCCCCCCATTACATGGGACTTGAAACATACGTACAATATACTTTTTAATTCTATATTAAATTTCTTATTCTTTATTCTATAAAGCTGGCGGTTGTTTGTTTGTATGCGCTAATCTATGGAAATACTGGACCGATTTGAATAACTATGTTTGTGCTGGATAGTCAGTTTATCAAGGAACTAGGAAGACTAGGCTATAAAAGATCAAGCTACTATTAACAGTAACTGAGCAGAATGGGTGAAATCGCGCGGGGGTACCTATCTAGTTAATAATATACCTACTCATGCGTCAATTCGCGACTGTCGGGCAAAAGGTTCGATTTCCGTATCGGGCAAAGTAAGTAGTACTGGGTTTTTATAAATTCTCAGTAGTAGCACGGAGTCTGGAATTGTGCCCGGTATACGGCAATAGGCTCTATTACATGGAACTCATAACATAAATAGTGAAAAGTGGGTTACATTGTACAGTGGCATAATGTACACCTCTGTCTAACCCTTCGGGGATAAAAGGCGTGATGTTATGTTATGTTCAGGCATCAATACCTAATCTCACGAGGATTCAAATTTAAATACTGTTTTGTTATTGTTAGATATTATTATATTATCATAATCCATTCACTACTCAATATTAACATACCACTGATTTTGATCTGTAGTTCTTCAATTTCATAAGTAGGTAGGTATTCATTTTATCATTTCACTTAATTGAATTTGGATCAGGTATGTGATGATGACATGCATTGCGTAAGAGAACAATAGAAATTCTTCTAAATAAATAAATAATAGGTACCTAAACACCGAAAGAATTTCCACGTCGAAAATTCAACAACATTCAACAAACTAAAATCGCGGGTTACTCATGTTAATATACCGAGAAAGAACAGAGAGAGAGAAGGGGAAGGAGAGAGTGAGAACCTCTGTGGTTCGAAACTAGTAGAGCTTTTCTCGATATATTCACGTGAGTAACCCGTGATTTTAGTTAACGTCTAAGTACTTCGCCGAGATCGAATTTGTCACCAATTACATTATTTGGAATTGTAAATACTTAAACGATATTCTTAATTGAAGGAAAGTCTCGCTCTCCCACAAATTCCTCCCGCACGGTTTCCCCAGCTGAGCGGTTCTTTTTGGGCATAATTTTTCGGTGGGAAAATCATCGAATGGCCTCTCCCACCTGCATGTAGCAGGCGGGAGTGTCAGACTCTTACTGACTAAAAACCACCCCGTTCCTACTCCAGCCCGTCGAACCGGAGCCCCGGTAACCTTTGACGTTCTCCTTTTGGCTATACTGAGATGTTTTTAGCCAATAACCTTATTTCCTACAGATTTAGTAGGTAGTACCAGCAGGTAACGCACGTTCAAACAAACATACTCTTTAGCTTTTAGTATTAAATACAGATTTCCGTAATAAAACAGATGTTTAAATATACGACATTTAAATAAAGTAGACTTCCTTGAATTGATCAGACGTACAGACAAACCTGTTTGTTATCATTACACTACATCAGAATAATATATCAGGTACGAGACCACGAGCAATGACCCACGCAACAACGCGCAATAACAAGGATAAAATAAAACTCGCAGTTTCTACGATAAGATGAGGCAAAGAAATAAATATTGTTGTTCCTATACCTCTACACTGCGCACTGGTTACATATCGAGGGGTAACGGACTATTTGGTTTAAGCGACATTTTGGGCGATATTGAGTTATATATATATTCGGAATCAGCGAATTTTTCTCCGTCGAATATATTATATAATAACTCAATATCGCCCAAAATGTCGCTTAAACCAAATAGCCCGTTACCCCTCGATATATTTTGTAGCTACACTTGGGAGCAAAAAATAGAGCCACTGGCATTTTCTTCATTTTATCGCCCTAACCCTCTATAAGTTCTAAAAAAATATTGATTTTACAACAAAATACTCTCATTTTAAAGGTAACTAAATTACCTTTTATATCAGTAAATCTTTATCAAGAAATTAAAAAAAGAAAAATGGTAGTGGCTCCGATTCTTTGCTCGTGTAGATAAAGATATAAGTTATAGGTAGTTTCTGACTAGATTAGTTAAGTACTTAGGTACCTAGAAAGTTTCAAAACCTAAGTAACTGGTACCAGTAATCGATTCATATAACAGGGACCTTATTTTATGTTTATTATTGTGAAACACTATTGGACGAAAATGAAAAATAAAAATTTAGATGATACCTATGTGGTTTAAAAACTTTTTTATTTGTAAAAACAACTATTTTATTCTGTTTTTTAATACTTAAGCAAATTCCAAAGAAAAAAATGGATAAAACGTGCTTCTGTTATTAAATATTTATCTACATAAGGATAACTAAGATAAATTACGAGTTCTTACCGTAATTTTCATTTTTACACGAACACTTTTACACAAACTGAATAATAAACACCAAAGACACGTCTGTCGCCTGCGCACTCTGGCTCTGTACTGTGTGTGTTATTTAATTCATTCAAGTGTTTACTAAGGTCTGTGACCACAGACTAACATAGGTACCTACTCGATGTGGTAGACTAATTGACAAATACATTCTGCCAATAGGTAGGTACATAATTTAGTGGTCGGAAACTACTTACTCATATTTTAATTGCAGTCTGATCGAACTTCGTACTGTGTCGGAAAGATGACGTCAGTCAGCTAATGAAAAAATATTAGACACGTATTTTTTTATTTTGTCGTATAAGAAAATAATAGTTATATAAAACGAATGAAAGTTTAGGAGCGGGAGGTAGCTACGTCATTTTAGAGTATATATCGTACTCAAAAGTGACGTCATGCGATATTTCAAATCAATATATCTTCGAAACTATTCGTTTCCATAAGAAAATAAAACATACGTGACTAATGTTTTTAAATAATCTATCAGATTGCCTCGTTGGCCGAGTGGTCGTAGGTGCGACTGCCGGGTCGTGCAAAGTACCTACCTATTACTGAGTTTAAAAAAAATCTCAGTGGTAGTACGGAGTCTGGAAATGTGCCCGGTATATGGCATCAGGCTCACCCCCTATTACATGGGACTCATAACATAAATAATGAAAAGTGGGTGTTACTGCTGTGTGCACCTCTGCCTACCCCTTCGGGGATAAAAGGCGTGATGTTATGTTATGCTATGTCTTTTGAGTTTTTCACCTATTTAATACTTAACTTAATTTTAAAGTGAAACGTGGGAGAGCCATGCTTCGACACCAAAGGTGCCGACTCGACCAGAGTGATACCACGGCCTCACAGAAAACCGACGTGAAACCACCACAGCGATGTGTTTCGTCGTGTGAGTGAGGTTACCAGAGCCCCATTGCTTACGCACTTGTAACACCTCTGGTGTTCCAGATGTCCATGGGCGGACCGCTGATTGCATACCATCGGTGATACGTCTGCTCGTATACCGTAAGCCGGTAAAATAAAAAAAAAAACTACTTTACAATAATAGGCACATGATTGGCAAAAAATGTGTAGGTATTTGTAGTTATTGTATAGTATTGTTTTGTGGGACGTTGTACTTACAAGTTTATCGGGTTTCCCTTCCTTTGGGGAAGAACAGGATTATCTATTGTGTGCTGTACAACCTCGGTGGTTGAAGCTGTCACTTCGTATTATTATTTAACCAATACTCTTCTTCACTTTATTAACCTTTCGAGTGCCTGTTAGTCACTGTGCCTGACACTAGTGGTGGTTTGATTTTAACCATTTTAAACTTAACAATTAAAGTTTTAAACGATGGCCTAGTATTGTAAGAAGATAGAAGAACTCTATGTTATCTTACTTAACGTCCTATATCCTCTAGATGAGGTAAAGATACTATCCCAGTCTACAAAAATATATTAACTTGATTCCCCCTAGTCCTTTCCATCATCGTACCACAAGACAATCGGCGAAGCGTCACCGATTCATGGTAGATGTTCCGCCCACACGCACGAAGCGCTTCGCTTCAAGCTTCCTTGTGCGTACTGCTAAAGATTGGAATTCTTTGCCAGAGGCTGTATTTCCTGAAGGGTATAACCTGGGTGTCTTCAAGGCCCGAGTGAATAGGTTGCTTATGGGACGACGTGCTCCATCGTAGACCGCATCATCGCTTACCACCAGGCGAGATAGTGGTCAAACGTCGCTCCATCAAATATATATGTATACCTCTATAAAAAAACTACCTCTTATCCGTACAACCATAAGACCAACGATAAAATGTAAACCCTTATCAATTTTAAGCACTAAGACCCAAATTAAAATGAATCTATTAAAAGTTCAAAAGAACTAGACTACCTATCTTTCATTCTCGTCATTTCTCTACTCTTTGTGAGCGTTCAATGACTCATGTAATTCGTGTGTGAGTCAGTGGCTCAGTGCAGCATGCGCACATGACACGCTGTCTGCCTTGTTTTCTAGTAGACGTGACGCATTATACTTCCGCTGTTGTCCTCCTTGGAGAGATAACAAACATCAGGTGCAGAGCTATTTACACAGGAGACTTGAATGATCAGCATCATCCGTCATCTTTAGCTTCTAACTATCAAAGACCTCTACTCAGATGAAGAAGGAATGAACATGCTACCACGCTCGCTCATGACGGATTGGCGATTTCAAACTCTAGAGGTATATGTAATTTGAAATTATGAGTTTCCTCACGATGTTTAGGTTAGCCAGTGGTCTCTAAAGAATTTTAGAAAGTTCTTGTTCAAAAATAACATCACACCCTTTATCCCCGAAGAGGTAGGCAGAGGTGCAAATTACGGCACTTAATGCTACTGTACAATGTAACACTCACTATTCAGGATTTATGTTATGAGTCTCATGTAATAGTGAGCCTATTGCCGTATACCGGGCACAATTCCAGACTCCGTGCTACTACTGAAAAATTAAAACTAAACACTACCTACCTAGTACTGCGCTGGACCTTTTTTTTGTTAGCGGGGGGGAAACCTTCCAAAAACGCCTAGATTTTTGGGGAAAGACTAGGGAGTGTGGGGTTTCTACCTCACTAAAACCTCCTCGGTGGCCACCATCCGCACTTGGGAACCGGGAAAAAAGTTCTTGTAATTTGGAAGAAGTCACATAGGTAACCAGGCTAGCCAGTTTTAAAAATCGTACCCGTGGAGGTACATGAGGAACTTAACTCTTTAGCAGTGGGATAGTTACAGGTTGATGACGATGATGATGATGATAAATAGACATTCACGATATCCAAGAAGTTATAAGAGCCTTCATTATTATCGACTTATTCACGTAGCTGTTTGACGAGGAACACGACTAGTTTCAAGCAATGCGATCCGCGACGCGACGACAGTCGTAGGTCGCGGAATGCTGCTCATGAATATGAGCTTCTAGCATAGCTTGAATCTGTGGCGACACATGGTACATGTCAACGGATGACGTCATAAGGATCCTATATCGCACATGCAAAGTTTACATGCAAATTAACACGGATAGAAAATCACAACGACCAACTGTTGGGCAGAAAGCCCGCCAGGCACGATTACCACGCCTGGTCGGAGGATCCTCCTTTTCCGATCTTAGAGAACTTTACTCTCTGTTCCCAAAAAATCTAGTCGAATTCCTCGCCAAACAATTACGTGAGAAAGCCGAAAATACAATAATTTATTTAGTATACCTCACTAAAGTTTTAATATATATGAGCCCTGCTGATAGGTATTTTAAAAATAAATAAGTGCGCTCTTATCTTGAAGGATTGAAGGCAGTATCGTTCTCAAACAAAACCGCAAAGGAAACAGGAAACGAATCGAAACACTGCATTTAATAAATTCTGGAGGCCTTAATTGGTTCACTTCAGTGCAAGGGTCATAGGGAGCGATGACCAGCTCAATGCAACATGACTTCTTTGTTAATAATAATGACTATATGATGACGTCATTATTAACATTAACATTTCATTAAATACTAGATGTATGTACTAAGTAGAATATAATTTCTGTTTTATCCCAGCATTTGATCGGGATAAAAAATATCATATCACCTAAGTCGGCCTGGCCCATACTCTTAAGTGCGGGAGAGCCATGCTTCGGGACGCATAGGCCGGCTCGACCGGAGTGATACCATGGCCTAACAGAAAACCGACGTGAAGCAACGCTTGCGTTGTGTTTCGTCGTGTGACTGAGGTTACCGGAGGTGTCCATGTGCGACGCCGATTGCTTACCATATGCCATAAAAAAACCCTGCGTGTAAACCAAAGGGAATTGATTAAAATTGGTGCCTTTCTTTTTTCTGGCGGCAGTCGATGATTTATGGAAAATATTATCTAGAATGACATTACAAACGAAATTGTCTATGGGCTTATATATGGAAATCTCAGTCTGGACTGAGTTATGAGCGTTGAAAGGAGCTGGAGTCGAACATTTTACTTCGGTTTTTTATTCAAATTATTCATAGTTTTGACACAATTTCTAACTTCAAATTGCGCGCCACTGTACTCCGGGCACAGGAAAACCATATCACACCACAATATATTCATTTTGCCAGGCTCTAATTTTTAGTACCTATTTTCTCTCAGTCGATATCTTGTGAGATGCTTCTAGGAGTTGTGTCATGAAGCTTCATGAGCGTCAGCTGTAGTACCAGTGGTGGGTTGAGTAGTGGTAGCCGTCCAAACATCTAATAAAGTATATTTTTTTTGCCATTAATACCTGGTGGGACGCTCATCTACTTAATAGTTAGCATAATCTTTTGAAGAAAGAAAACCGTCGACTTTTAAAGTTATCAGCGCTATTCAATCCGCTACCGACGCCGAAGCTGATAAACATAGCATTTCATGATAGGGCTCAGTAAAGTATTTTGCGGGTTTTTGACTGAGAGGAAATTGATCATGAAGATCTGTCATAGGCCATAAACCATATACATATAAATTGAACACGCTAGCCAATCAAGCGAAATGTTTCTTTTTCTTCAGCAGTGGTCAGTTAAGTAATGGTTCACTCTGACCTGATTCAGTGGCCTTATAACAAAAAAAAAAAA